TCTGTTAGATTTCTAAACCTGTGTTTCCTCATATGTTGGAGGTCCTTAGGTGTGATATCAGCCATATTTATATGAAATAGATCCGTATCTCATAGTATTTTATAGGACTGCATAAGATTTGACAAATTGGGGCTGGGGATTTAGCTCAGCGGCATAAGTACCTGCCTTGAAAGCAGGCAGTCGTGAGTTCGATCCCTGGTACTGATAAAAACAAAAAAAGCCAAAAAAAAAAAGATTTGACAAATTGACATAGTATGCATTTTTAGATATTTACTTTATTATTTATTTATTATTAATTACATTTTGAAATCAGAAGTTTTCTTTTTCTGTATAGGAGTCTTATTTTTCATTCATTTCCTTAGTCCCTAGATTATGCTATCCAGTGTGGTCACACTACCATACTGGTATTGGCTATTACACATTTGAAATGTGGCTGGTGTAACTGGGGGACCGGACAGTTAGTTTTATTTAATTTAATTAGCTTAAAGACTGGTGAATCCTAACCCTAAACATATATACATTTATGCATACATATTACATTTTTTTTTTTTTTATACATATTACATTTAAAGACTGATAAATTATGGGAAAGCTTAAGGATGTTTGGAACTTGGACAATGAAATTTGACCTTTTAACTGTAAATTTCTGAGAAAAACAGAGTCCAAACAATATGTACTGTGAGTACAAAGTACACACTTGATTCTAGGATATCTTATAAAAAGAGTATAAAATATCAATTATTTTTGTATTAATTACATATTAAAATGATACTATTTGGGATATATTGGGTTAAACAGAACTATATTATTAAAACTAACCTCATATGCTTGTTTTTCTTTCTTTTCTCTTTTTTTCATGTGGCTATTAAGAAATTTAAATTTCCATATGTGTCTTGGCTTGTGATAGGTTCTGCTAGCCTGGGGTTTAGCTACGTCCTCCCAACTTGGTACCAGCCCCAGAGAAACAACTTTTCTCTCCAAGAGTAACTTCTCTCTTCTCCTTCTCACCCCAGAGATAAACCTCCGCTCCCCTTTTGCGTGTGCGCCGAGCCCTCTCCAACCTCAAGACTCCGCAACCACCCAAGCCTCCATCGCAGCCCCCAGCAGCCCCCAGTAAATCTTTCTGTCTTCTGTTTCACACAGGCAGATGCTCCTTCAAGTCAGCGGTTAATACGTCCTTTTGCCCACCTCCCAAAGTCCCTGCCCAGCCAACACTGATAAAAGTAGTCCCACTTCTTTGCTCTCTGTTGAGAGTCTCTGTACCCCCTGCCCTGTAAAGCTCTCCCATGGCCACATTAAAGGCCTCCTCCTTTGTCTCCTTCTTACCTCATTTTCTCTGCCCAGCTTCAGACTGAGTGCCACAAATACTCAATCAGCTTGCATTTCATTTGAATAGCATTGCCCTAGAACTTACATCTTTTAAAGACTGTGGCCCTAATTTGAAACCTCCCTCAGATGTGTGACTAAATCCATCCAAATCTCCCAAATCAAGATTTAGTCTCTTTATCTATAAAATAGAGAAAATAATCATATCCATATTGCACATTTATTATGAGGGTTGAGTGCAATATATGTATAAAAATAAATAGCATTTCCTGATATGTAGTCAGTGCTTATGTTATTATTATTATTATTATTACTATTGTTACCGCTGTTCCCACCAGTCTCTCAAGTTTATTTTTTAATCTGGAAGAATTTTTAATCCATACTACATTAAATCTATATTTTAACTTAGCACTTTTATTCTTTTATATTCTTTTGTATTTATTAATATCTTACACACCAAGAAGAAAACATCATACATTAACATAAATGAGATTTTTGATACAAACTAAATTATCCATAAAAGATAAAATTTACAAAGGGTGCAGATTTACATTTTTGGAAACTTCTCTATTGCTCAGAAGAATAAAAGACACTTGGAATTCTTTATCTGGCTGATTCAACCTATTGCCAGATTTTTCTTTGTGAAGTCTAGGAAGCTCAGTCTTGAGCAGTTACTTATTCAGAATGTTTAAATTGCCTTCCCGCCTTTTCCAACTTTGTTACATTAAAATCCATCGGAAACTCTTGCACTTTGGATGAGTCTTTATCATATGTGTGATTATCATGGATTTGACATTTAGAAAGTATCAGCTCGGTGAGTATGCAAATTTCCGAGTGTTGGAGTATCTTTTGAAGTGTTAGAAACTGTCACACTCACAATTGCAGTTCTATATTTTCCAAACTTCTCATCTTCACTGGGAGATACTAGAGGTTTTATTTTTAATATTTAATCTTTCCCACCAGGAACCCAATATAACTTTTGCCAAATTAGTTTCTCTGTTTTTCTAATTATTTTCTTTATCGCCTTAAGGAAGGTGAGACTATTCTCCTTGAATAAATTTCTCTTAACTCTGAGTTAAATTTAACACAAACCACTAATTTTGTTACTTGAATCCTTTTGTGATATTTTCTAGCTTTTAAAAGTATTAACTTAAGGGGCTGGAGATTTAGCTCAACGGAATAAGTGCCTGCCTTGCAAGCAGGCAGTCTCCCCGGTACCGACAAAAAGGAAAAAGACAAAAAAAAAAAGAAAGTATTAACTTATTAAGAGGGTCTGATGCCTAACACACATTCAAGGACTCTAACGAGTCATTCAAGGCTTTTTGTACTATATTTTTATCCTGCAATTCTACCAACTCATTTTGCAGCACTACAAATTCCCTTTATCATCTTCTGGGTGCTTATATGTCACACACACACACACACACACACACACACACACACCTTTCAATTTCTTGTGTTTATAATTACTCTTATAATTTTTTCTTCCTTGATAAACATAAGCATTTCCCCTGTCAAATTAAATAGAAGTAATATTGGGGGTATTATTATCCTGTTGAATTTTTTGAGCTATGTAGTACAGGCTGGCCTTGAACTCACTTATGTAACCCAGGTTAGACTCAAACTTAAGGTGATCCTCCTACCTCAGCCTTCCAAGAGCTGGAATTGCAGATTCCTGTGCATTTTTAAAAGAACACAATTTTTTTTTCTCTTTGTGCATATTATTGTATTTAGAAAGACCCTTGTAAAGCTAGGCATAATGGCACACACCTGTAATTCTAGCCTCAGGAGGCTGTGGCAAGAGGATTACCATGAGTTCAAGGCTAGCCTGGGCTACATAGTGAGATCAAGGTCAACCTCATCTACGTAATGAGACCCTGTCTCAAACAAAACAAAACAAAACAAAAAAACAAAGAAAGAAATAAAAGGACCTTTTATACTTTTTTTTTTAAAGAGGTAGGATCTCATTCTGTTGTGTATGCTGGCCTTAAATACCTGGGTTCAGCAGATCCTCCTGGCTCTGCTTCTCAGGTAATTGGAATGCACATAACCTCAGTGCCCCTTTCATAGCTTTAAAGTTTTGGCTTTTAAATCAGCCATCACTATAGGTTTTACACAACATAAATTTTCAGTTTTCTGTGTCTGCCCTCCTGTGAGGTCACTCTGTTAACCCTTCTCAGCTTTGCCCAGGTGGGCAAAGGTTCTTCTTCCTAGAAGAAATCCTCTCTCCACTCAGCCAAGCTGCTGGGCTCAGGTCAGCTATTCAGTCCAATTTAGGTCTGTTCATCCACCCAGCGGCTCCTCAATGGATGATGGGTGATGCCTAGCAGTGCTCTGTGTTTGGACTTGCTACATGCATTATGGCTCTGTGAGACAGTTTTCCCTATTTTCTGGTGCTTGTTGAAATTGAAGTTCATTTTAAATGACAGAGAGGTGATTTTTAGATCAGTGAGGTCCTGTTGCAAGAGGCAGAGTTCCCGACAGTGTTTGGTAAATGGAGGAGAATAAATGATAGACATTATATGCAGAGCCCTGAGGGAGCAGCTCTCCCATCTCCATTGTTTATAATAACAATAGACTCCTCCTCCCACCACTATCTGACCTTTCTTAGAAAGAACCACGACTGTGAGAAGAAAACAATCATTTGCCATGGACAAGTGAAAAATAGCTTAAGACTCGCTTTGTGGTTTTAAGAATCATAAAATATAACTTTCACCATGCTTACTTTTAGATATAGAGAGAACATATATGGTTTTAGAAATTAATATAGAAGGATTCCTTGGCATTTGGAATTTCACGTTGGAATTCTCAGTTACAAAGTTTAAAGAAAAATGAAATTAATAGTATAGCCAGAAAAAAAAAAATTCCATCAAAGAAACAGCCCACCTATAAAATGCGACATCATCAAACATCCAAACCTGTTAACTCCTTTTGTATACCTCAGTCCAAACAGTGCCTCCTGGATTGCTTGTCTGTCCATCCATCCATCCATCCATTCACTCTTCCATCCATTCACCAATGCATTCCATACATCTTCCACTTGGCAGCATCTGAGTTGTATGAGTAAACCTTAGGAACCTCCCCAGATGTACCCCAAACCTCCTATAAGTAATAACAAATGTTTCCCTGGTTCCCTCTCCCTGCAAAATCAAAACAGCTCTCCCCTTTTTCTTGGTGCCCACAGCATTTCAAAGCCTCTCCTTTAGAGCATGGTTACAGGAGCTTTGCTTGTTGTAACCAGTGATGTTTGTACTGTATCCCTCTTAAGAAAGAAGTTGGTGTCTGCTCTGCCCTGCATCTTCCTCCATCATGCCTGTGGCTGACCCAGTGTGAGGTCACCATCTGGAACTCTCTCTGTCTCTTTTTTATGTACTCCTTCTCTTCCAGGGCCAAAGTGGCTGCAGCCGATGGGCCTGCTGGGAACCCAACCCAGGCCGCCACCCCTGTAAGGCACACAGTAAAGATAGACAAAGACGCCCTCCTCCAGGACTATGGATTTCACATTTCTGAGAGCCTTCCTCTCACAGTGGTGGCCGTCACAGCAGGTAGGGTTTGCCTGGAAAATGTGAAAGGAGTTTGGTTTCTTGGGGCAAAGTTTCTTGGCTCTCCTCCCATTTCTCTGTCCTGTAATGAAAAGCAGAAAATGCTACCCCAGGAAGTTAGAAAATTCTGACCTCATTCTGTCTTGGCCTCGGTATCTTCCTTTGGTGCTGGGAGGGAGGGAACCCCAACAGCACTTCCTACTCTGAGCCTCAGCCTCCCACTGGCCTCGGCCTGCCCTTAGCCCCACCTCAGCTCCCTGGCCAGTCTCAGAGACAAGGAAAGTATTTGGATAGGCTGGCTTTCCTCCCGGAACCCTGTGTGCTTCTAGCTGGTGAGAATTTCTGAGCACACAGTAATAGAAACTATTGATTTGTTTTCACTTGAATCTTTGTGAAATATAGGTTGTACTGGATGGAGAGGAGCAGGCTGGGAAAGCTGAGTGTTTTCTTACTTGAGCTATGTATTGATGTTAGATCTGGGACTGGGTAAAATGGGTTTCAGTTGACATACCTGTGACTGTGCATGTATATGCACACGTTTATTGGAGATGAGTACAATAAATTCATTGGCAAGCTCTATTGATCCGTAAGGTTTCTGCTAGTTTTCCTTCTCAATACAGTATCCCAATGCTCCCTGGAAGTTGATGGATGATGTATATTATCCTACTTTATAAAGAGAGATTCGTGTGGGCCAGTGCCCAGGGGACTCGGGCTGCCATGCAGCTGTGCCTCTGTCACACTAGGGGTCTGAGCCTTTCTGGTCAGAGCACCTTTACTTATTTTCTGTCCAACAGGAGGTTCTGCTCATGGCAAGCTTTTCCCCGGTGATCAAATCCTCCAGATGAACAGTGAGCCTGCCGAAGACCTTTCCTGTAAAAGAGCAGTGGATATTTTGAGGTACTAAATTGTCCATCATCCAGGGCTGCAGAGTTATCATAGAGATAATCTCCCTTAATGAAGCAGGAGCAGCTGCATCTTCAGCTCTGGTTAGTAAGGTGGCTTCTCCGTGGTGGCTGTAAACCTTCTGCTCTCCTTTACCTGCCGCACAATAGTGAGGGTGGCATAGAAAGCTGTACTTACTAAATTCCTGCATGACCAAAGCACTGTCCCGGACGCCCCGGGGAGCATGCTAATCAGCACCTCGTAGGCCTGAACTTCTGAGAGCCATGGACGTATTGTAACAAATGCCAAAGACTGAACTAAATAGATACCAGATCTGTTTGTTCTTTAACACTTTTAGTGTCTCTTCTAGAGCATCTGTGACTTTCCTCCCCCTGTTACTGGGATTTGTGTAAATGCCTCACCTGTTGCCTGGACGTGATCTCCTGAGATCAGGGCAGGTACACAGTGGCTGCTCAGGTGAACCACTGAATATGGCTTGCACTAGGATTTGGTGACACTGATTTTAGGATACAGAGAAGTCAATGATGGGCAGAAAAGGATTCACAGACATGATATAGGCCAAACGGGCTTGGGCTTTTAATTTTTTCACTGAACCCTGTTCTAATGACTTTAACTTAAATAGATATAAGAGGTAGAGTGAGATGAAGGCTAACTTAAAGATAAATCAGTACCTAAATTTGAGCCTTCTTGTGAGTTTAACTGATCTGGCTTTGGGCTGGTGAACATTTCTGAGCAAATATCATATACAGTGCGCACTGAACAGTAGGTTACAACTACAAGGCAGAAAAAGAGAAAATGAAGGGGGAAGATGCAGTCTCCACCCTCAGAAGCACGATCTCACAGACAGGCAGACACACACACATACACACATCAAGAGTTTAAGATTTACAGACCATTAGCCAGGCGTGGTGGTGCACACCTGTAATCCCAGCACTCAGGAGGCTGAGGCAGTAGTGAGTTTAAGACCAGCCTGGGCTCTAAAGTGAGCTCAAGGCCAGCCTGAACTGCATAGTGAGACCCTGTCTCAAAAAAACTTGAGGGATGCCAGAGACTAAGCTGAGCAGGTAGAGTGGCCAAGGATGTGATGATTTCATTTAAAAATAAAGAAGTACATTTTGGAAATCATGAATTTCGCTTTCTTAGTTATTGTCTCAAAGATGATCACTTTCAGCAAACAAATTTTAGAGCTTCAGTGTTGCTAATATTTCTGTTAGACTAGAACCAACTGCTGAATCCACAAATGTGTTTGTAACTGTAAGCAGTCACACAGAATTTGAGCATTTAGATACACTTACCGCTGACCATTTACAGAGTTCCCTACTCCAAGCAAGGAGCCCTGTGGCCAACAGTGGGTCCACTGCCCAGCCACTGGCAGGCTGCTGGCGCAGACCCACATGTACATATACACAAGATGGAAATATACACGTCAGCGGGAAAAACAGAAGAAGTGGACTATGAAGCTGAAGATTCCTGCAGCCTAAGAGGAAATACAATGAACAAAGCAGAAAACCATCCAGAAGCATTGAAGCTGTATCTTTGCTGCTGAGAATTTGGCCCAGGAAGATGGAAGTGAAAAGAAGAGCAGGGAGCATGATTCGCTAGAGCAGCGTGGGGTCCGGACTGTGCTGAGCAGTTCAGCTGGCCTGAGGAAATTTGGGGGAAGCGAGGCACAAGTGATGGAGGGTCCCGGGTGCCAACATGAGAAGTCCAGCACTACTTTCCTGAGAAGAGAAGTCACTGTCAGCTTTGAGCAGTGACTTGAGGTGCATAATATATCTGTCCCCTGTGCCACTTTTGCATGTGAGAATCTGGGTATCACTTTTTTCTTAAACTTAGTTCCCAGTGTCTAAAAGCTGCATAGTATTCATTGTCACTTACGGGAGGGGGGCAAAACCTGTTCTCACATAGAATGGGAAAGCAGCACTCCTCAGACCCAGAAACCTCGCCTGACTCATCCAGTGGAAGAAGCAACACCCCAACCACCATTGACCTAAATGTTCACATTGCAAGAATTCAAACAAAAGTATTTCATATGCTCTTTCTCTGCATAGCAGTGGCAGAGAAAAAAGAAAGTATGAATCATTCCACGATTCTCCTGCTGGGACAAAGCAGAAGGTTGTCAGTTACCTGACTGTTTTAACCACTTTGGAAATCTATAAGAATAACGCAAGATAAAAATGTTTGATATCTTGATTGTATGTTTGAACTCATCACACTGATACTGTGTTGCTAAATACCACAAACTACTTGGCTTTTGTTTTTTTTTTAAATCGGTACCAGGGATCAAACTCACGACCGCCTGCTTGCAAGGCAGGTGCTTATGCCACTGAACTAAATCCCCAACCCCAACTACTTGGTTTTTTATCTGATCAGAGTGGTTCTGTAGACATTCATTCTATTTAGTGCAATATTTGGCCTAGGTTTTCTGAAGTAGTAACTTAATTTATCTGGTTTTTTTCTTGGGGGGATTGTCTTTTTCCTTTTTATCGGTACCAGGGATCAAACTCACAACTGCCTGCTTGCAAGGCAGGTGCTTATGCCGCTGACTAAATCCCCAGCCCCTGTTTTTGTTTTATTAATTAGTGTCAGCTGGATGAGTTCTCCATCACCTGAGACTAAATGAATAGCTTTACTTTAGTGGCGGTAGGTGTAGACTAGATATAGTAAAGGAGGCTCTCTGAAGAATCCGTAGAGGTAGGAGGAGCATTTTGGGCCAGCTCAAGGTCATTGGCAGGTCACTGTTTTCCTCAACATTGTTCTCAGTTTGGCTGATTCCATTTAAAAATAAAGAAGGACGTTTTGGAAGTACATGGGAAGCAGTACACGTTTTCTAATGACGCTACCAGTCTTAACTTTTTAACTTGCATTCACATAATGCACAGAATGACTGAACATTGTTGTCTTTATTCTTTTCAGGGAAGCTGAAGATTCTCTTTCAATCACAGTTGTTCGCTGCTCATCGGTAAATTTCTTTCTCTGTCCTGTGTATTAATTTCACATTCTGTGGCCCCAAGACCCTGCACCTCCAGAAGATATCCCTCATAAAATGAGCAGGAGAGCAAAGGGCAGAGGGGACAGCTGCTGGGCGGTGGGTGGCCAGTAGGTCATAGCCTGAAGACCTATTCCGTGCAGGTGCCATAGAGGACCCAGTGGAGGAGACAGAGCTGTGACATGTAGGCTGGGATGATAAAAAGGACGCAAACTAGGAACTGCATGACAGCTTTGTGTGGTGTAACTTTGAGAGAGTTGCTGGTTTCAGTTTTCACTTTTATTACAATGAGGGTGACAGTCACTGCCTGGTTGTCTAGTGGGTTGTCTTGAGGGCCACATGAGGTGTTGGATGTGACCATGTTAAATCAGCTCTGAAACTCTCACCACTAGGCAAGGTCTGGCACAAGTGAGGCGCAGGGAAGAAATGGCACCCCTGAACCATGGCCAAAGGGAGTTTTATATATTTTACAGAGGAAAATGTATGGTCAAGTTATAAGATCAAAACTACCAATGAGGAAGGGTTAACAGAAAATTCTCCTTGGGAGAGACCTTAGTATACTTCTATCCTTGACCATAATAGACAGGGAGGGAGGGAGGGAGGGAGGGAGGAAGGAAGGAAGGAAGGAAGGAAGAAAGGAAGGAAAGTAGGGGTGGGGGACAGAATTTTAATAATATATTCAGTAATTTAACCTAAATGACCACATATGAGGATTCCAAGAAAATGCAATAATTACACAAATTAAAAATAAACTTTATAGGTCCCTTTTCCTGAATGTAATTTAAAATGGAAACTAATAACTGTTGAAATTTAATTAAAACCATCCAACCATTTGGAAATAAAAATGCATTTCCTAAGTAAAGATGGAGTCAAGTAGAAGAGCAAAACCACCATTACAGACTTTTTAGGAAATAATTAAAAATCAGAACTCCACTTCTTAAAATTATTATGTGCAGTTGAAGCACTACTTTGGGTAAAATTCATTAGCCCTAAGTGGTTTTTTATTATTTAATAAGGAAATAAATCAACTAAATACTCATTACCAAAAATTATATAAAAGTCTAATAAAACTAATAAGACAAAAAATAATAGAAGTCAAAACATAAATGTTGCTTTGGAAAACAGAACAATTGTAAAACTGGTAAATCCAAGAGCTTGTTCTTTAAGGGGAAAAATTATAAAATAGGAAAGTTAAGGAAGAGAAATATGTGGATGCTATACGAAGGAAACCAAAATATGATTGAAGAGGGCTATGTGTATAACTCATTGCTTTGTAGAGGTGAGGCT